AACACTTCCGGCGTGCTTCGTACACTGGCGGTTGAAATTCGGTGTCTTTGCTTGGTACGACCCGACGTCCTTGTAATCAGCAAACACAATTCTCGAATGGTTTCCATTCTACAGTCTTGTGGCTCTTACAGGCTAGGTTGTGCGGAGAAGCACCACTCAACACCAAGTGTACGGAACACTTTTTTTCATTTTTTCATTTTTTTCATTTTTTCTCTTGGCCCGCGCCACCCGGTTGCAAAGCGACCACATTGTGTTGGAACATGCAATCGCCGAGACTTGACACAGGGATAGAGGACGCCGTGGAGAGTGCGAAGAGAGAGGTCGCGTCGCCGTCCGAGCCGTGCAGCGGAATACGAGGCGCGATCCAAGATCTATTTATGGCACATGCCGCAAATAAGAGCGGAGTGCCATTTTTAAACCACCGCCCGCGAGCCGACGCAACTCGGCCGCCAATCTCGCGTTTGAAATGAAATCGCCCATACTTGGCACATTGACAGAAGACACTTTGGGGAGCAGAGCAGACCACGCTACGCCGCTACTGCGGTCTTATAACGCGAGCAATGGTCAACAACGCACAGATAGCATTGCTCTTTAAGAGTTAAAAAGCAAATTGTGATCGCCACCTTGCCACGTTCGTTCCCTGTTCATGCTGCAAGCGCGGAGACTCGAGTTTGTGAGACTGGTTAATACCGACTGGGAAAAAGCGCCAATGCTTTGCACGGCTTTGCCTCATTCATACTCTCAGTAGGCCTCTAGTTTAGTCGTGTAGGACATACGAGCACGGCAAAGGCGAAACGCAGCAATGCTTGGAGAAGAGAATGACAGCAACCTCGAGCATTGTTCACGCCTCAAAGTGCGCTCCATGACGTCGGGCGTACGGCAGGGTGGTCGCAAGCGGACGTCCTCTCGACTGTGAACGGTAAAACTAAGCTCGTGCGGCCAAGAGGTCCTTGGATGGAAACCGCTGGCAGCTATGGGTTGATAGGGGCCGTAGCGGCAGAAAAGGCCATTGCGTTTACGTTGGGCGTCTACGCGCTGTGAGGTATATATTCAGTCTACCGAGATAAGCGCCGGCAGAGACAACCTCGAGCACGGCTTTGAGGATGGCCTCGACCCAATTCCTCGACCCCTGCTCTCGACCTCGCTCACGCAACCCGTTGGCGAGCTGGAGGTTGCAGATCTTGGCTCGCTTGAGCAATGCCATGTGCTCGGCCTCGAGGGCATTGATCTGCGTCGAGATCTCCACCAGTTTCGTCTGCAGCGTCTACAACGTCGTGACGAGCAACACCTCAAAGAGAGAGATGTCGTCTGTGATAGCATCGGATTCCCCACAAGCGACCTCGGGTAATTGCGATAGCGACGCAGGAGTAGGAAAATCCTGCGTCGCGAGTGCCAAAGCCAAAGCCGTGATCGGACACGTGAAAATGTTGTCGTCGTCCGGCATCCACGCCAAACTAGCCATCGAGGACGTTTTAAGAAGCGTTGGATGCCCAGAATAATTGCGCCATCGCACGAACTGTTGTTCGCGGCGAGCATCGAGACGTCAGACGCACGATCTACGACAGGCCACTGCACCACCAAGGGAGCAGCGTCCTGATACACCATCGTATCGGGGCTGCACGTATACCAGTGGCGGACAATATTTGCCATCGAGGCTGGTGCGGTCGCCGCCGTCGAGTGCAACCACTGGGACAATACCGGCAACGACACGTGCTCAAAAAAGAAATGCAGGGCCCTCGGGGGCTGTCCAGCTCGCCGAGGCCGTCGTCAAGGCCTGCGCCGCGCCCATCAACCACTTTGAATCCTTCTACCCGCTCGAGGCGTCGATCGACGAGAAGGCGCGCGCCGTGTACCAAAAGATCTATGGCGCCGACGACGTCATCTTTGCGGTCAAGTCCGTCGTCGGCCTAGATGGCTGTCACTTATAAGCCGAGTGCGCCAAGAGCGGGGTGCTACTCGAAGCCACAGTCAAGGATCGCAGCGATGGCACACAGTCAAAGACTGGTTCGTCGGCCTGCGACGACATACCGTACTAGTACCGCAATACGAGCTTTTCGTGTTGCGACTTGGTCGTTGCTCGTTTAGGAGGTCGACGCGGTGCAGCAGCTGCTCTTGCTCGAGCTGCCGCTCGCCGCATCCGAGCGTGCAAGCGCTCAACGAGCATGGTCGAGGGCATTGTCGAGCGTGCGATCGGCTGGATCCGCGGCTACAAGCAGGATAAGAACGTGGTCGATCGAGACGGTACCGAGGCCGCAGCGCGAACGATCGGATGCAGCGGAGGCGGGCCTTGCGTCGCTAGCTCGGCGCTCAAAGCATCGGACCGCAGAGAGCAAGAAATCTCAAGCAGAACGACCCAGACGAGCATGCTACGCCTCACTTGCAGCCGTTCCGGCAAGTGCCAATCCCAGAAACCTCCACCAAAGCATATATCTAACGACGCTGAGGTATGAAGTCTACGCGGTTTCTGGTTTCGATGAGGTGTACTAGATCTTTGGTACTAGATACGCTTTTTGCGGCGCTGCTCTTGCACCTGGCGTACGTCTACTATACCTGAAGCGCTCGTCTCCGTTTCATATTAGTTTAATAGCAAGCACTCATGACATGGTCCATGTGGCTCCATTGCACGAAGCAAAAGTACAAGCGCGACGCTGCCTGACCAGATTTGACGATCATCGACCGGAACCAGAGTCTCGAGCCGGCGATCCAACCCAGCCTGGTCTTGACCACGTCGTTGGCGCCCCTTCGCAAGTCGGCGGACGTGAAAACGGCTTACCTCCAGAAACGAATTTGCGATGTGCAACGGTCGAATCTAAGAGCGCACGGCTTGCCACGATTGGGATCGCTGGGGCAGAACGTTATTTCGGTTGACGACGACATGAGCACGGATCCCAACTCGTCGGACGACGAGGAGCACCGCCACACCAAGCTCATTGCGTTGAGGTAGGTTCATTGTCCGCTGCCAAAAGCTCGCTCACCAGGCTGCTCGTAGCGCCTCCATTCGCGGTGGTCTCAACCGCGGCAGCTCCTCGCAAGCACTGTATGCGCTCTCACGGCACAACCTGAGGTTGATCGATACTTGTAGACTCGGCGACAAGGACGGGGACATGAAGAAGCACGAAGGCCCGTTCGTTCACGAGGACGAAGGAGACGACGCCGACAACAACGTACGTGCGCGTTAGCTTGTTTCGGTGCTCAGTTGTCTGGATGACATAGCTCGCGTCTACGCTCGCCGTATTCGAGACGAACCAGCCCGACAACTCTACGACCTTGCTCGGCGCGCTCAGTGGAAGCTTTGGAAAGCGTTTGAGCCCTCCCGGTCGGAATGAGCTCGAACGTTGGCTCGGGCGCTTTGGCCCCGTCTGGGCCGAGGTGTCCACTGCGACGAGCATCGTGATGGCAACTGCCACCGTGCTTCTCCTTCCTCTCGATTTGCCCGTCCCAAGACCCAAGACGTAAGATGGATGCACCGTGATCGCGCCAGTGCTTGAACGGTATCCTTGTAGCGAGCCCTGTGTGGAGCGAGTTGACGACGGCAAGATTCGACTCTACTGGCCCGTTCCCGTGCGCACGTTTCGTGAAATACCCTCGACTCACTAGTCGTTTTGTCTAGGACATCGAGGCGACCGACCTCTTGAAAGAACGCTTGGGGAGCGCCGTGCGTGTCGGCAAGTCACCCGCGGCCAACCCGCTCCCCAATCGCTTCCCCCTTCGCCTGTTTGTGAGCCTTCCAGGAAAAGCACAGGAGTTCATCGACGCAGGTCCGCTTGCTCTCGTGGAGCTACCCGTGTCGACCCAGGAGCCGAACACGTTTACGTTGGAGCTCATCCATGGCCAGCAACTACCACAGGTCATCACCGACGCCATGGTCCAGTAGGACACCGAGACACAACGTTTTGAATGTATGCAGTGTTGCGGCATGCAGTGTCAATGTGGTTCACAAGCTTTCTGATCGATGAGAAACAGTTGGCCCTGTCGCACCGGTCGACGTGACGCAGGTCATGCGAGTAATTTCTGTCGCCGAGTCCGGCGCTGCGCAAGATCAAGCTCGAGACCGCGCGTATGATGGCGCTGCCACATGCCACGATTATCGACACTCGTTTCGCTCAACATTACCGTGCCCAACGACAAGGGCAACGCCAGTGCAGTTTTGTTATATTTTGATAAGTTGATACCACGTCGTGCTCGGTGGTGGGAGAATAAATAGTGTCTTGTCTGGGCAGATCGTTGTTCACGCCTGCTCGACGTTGGCCGTGAGCGCATGCGATTCGACAATGCTCATCATCAGCTGGACCTTCTACACATAAGACGGTGCCATCCGAACGTCAATCATGGGTCGTCGCACCTGCGAGAGTCGATCGCGAAACACCTCGCGCGACTTGGCCGCAATGTCGCCAAAGACGTGGACGACCCAGCGGCCTTCGATCGACACGCAGAGCCGGTCTTCTTCCCTAGCAATAGCACCTGATTGTATGTAGTAGTATGCATACAAGACCATACCGTGTGGGCGGCGGCTGCTTGCGCAGCAGCATCGGGGCTGCGGCCGTCGCTGCAAACATCGCGTTCCGGTGCGGGTGCAGCGCCGCGCGCTCGTCCGCTTTGCGCAGCCGACGGTCGACGTCTTGAAGGAAGCGGCGGACCGCTGCCACGTGCAGCGTCGGCGGCAGTCGGATGCGGAGCCGGAGCGGCCAGCGCGGCTCGTCGGCCTCGGGCGTGTTTTCTGCAAACACCACCAGCGGCGTCGTGAGCGCCTTCCCGGCCGGCACATACGTCTTGGAGTATGCGTCGCAGGTCGTGATG